AAAAAAAGAAAAAAAAAACACGTTTTTCCCAATGTTTTTTTAATAGGACTACAGTCTATTAGGGAAATTGAGTATAATAAAAAACGGTCACTCAAAGATTTTTCTTTTTCGAAGCCCTTCATGTTCATGATCATTTTGTAGTGCAATTTTGTCGGGGCTTTAATATTACACCATATCACAGACACTGATAACACGTAGGGTAAACATCGTTAAAATAATTCCTTTAAAGAAGACAAAAATATGAATAATAATTACTATCTAAATAATTACGGCTAATAATATCATAATTATGAAATAATTATGACAGTATATCCACACACATAATATAAATTCATTCATAAGAAGTACACAGTCAGACCATGTTTAGAGATTGTCTCAGATAAAGTTTATTGTAAGTAGCATGGCACGAGAGAGAGTCAGCAGGAAGGTTTCCATAAAAATGGCAAAAATAATACTTCAAAATAATATCTTTAAAACAACAAAATACTGTTCACAACAAAATCTTCTAACAAAGAGGGGTTGTTTTGTAGTTGCCTTCAGCATAAACAAATACAGACATATTAACACACTAAAATACCATTTATCTCATTACAAATAAAATAAAAGTAAAGAAAATCTTTCTCTCAAAATTAATAAAAGAGAACAAAAATATGGAAAACATTTTCAAATATACCTAATGGTCCTATTTTTCTGTACAAACAAACATGAATCTTGGTATCTGAAATTCGTTGAACATTCGTTGTAAACACAATCTTGATTTCAGCAATTTGTCAATGCAAGATGATATTGAATTTCATAACACACATACACAGTGCATAAAAATAGACATTTTCTCTGAATTCACAGTTAATTACAAATATTGAAGAAATTCTTTCATTGTAGACATAAATGTACAATTTTATCAGAAAATGCAACTTTTTTCAAATATCTACGTGCATGTGCGAATCGATAAATATGGAAATGTTACATAGCAAAAGTTATCTGTCGTTGCAGATCTAAGAATGGCATTAAATGACAGATAAATTTACGTTTGGCAAGAGTATTTTCTAAGCCTTCTACAGTCACTTCATCACGAGAAAGTAAATCTACTGTACACAACTCTCTAACATGGCAACAACATAACCTTTGACCTACTAATAACTACAACATTATCAAAATCAATAGTTTGATAATACAGCTTCGTATATTCAAGGTTTTTTTGCAGTCTTACTTAATTTGGTCACTTATTTGTTTAATAAAAAATTTAAAAAATATGACCAAATCTTCATGTTATCAAACCCAATGAGATCTACAATAATATGGAACTTCTGTGATGAAATACAAAGACAAGAATTTCTTTACAGGAATCTAAAATGTTTTTTTCTTTCAAATGCCCTGTTAATGCTATGAAATCTTGACTTAAAAGTTTAGACCAAGGTATAATGAGGATTAAAAATGCTAGAGGATTTTAACATACCCTTAAATATAGAAATATATATATCTCTGTTATGAATAAAGAAAAATAAATTAGTGAAAATAAAAAGATGTCATGAAAGAACAAAAAGTTATCATCAAAATGAACTGCATTCCTATGAAGTAACATTTTAAACTTGCCAAAGCTTGGATATTAGAAATGAAATATGCCAAAATTGTGCATATCTGTTAAAAATATAACATGTCAACATCTACAACTCATCATCATAAATTTCCATTTAACGTTAAATAATTATCAAAATGACAGCTTAAAGGAGAATCAACCAGTGGACTACAGCATGTTATTATTCCTAAAGGTATACAGTATGCAGTGAAATATGCTTTAGCACACATCTGTCTAGAAAGACCACCTTTCTATAAAGAGCACATTTTCTGTTTCCCTTGAAAAAATTGTTTCTCATTGAAAAGTAAAAGGAACCTGTACATAAAGATCAACTGCTTATAAAGACCCCTTTTCCTGTCTCCTTTGAGCAGACTTTATATACAGGTTTCACAACAGTTTTTAAAGATCCATTTCACAATATTTTTGTTTTTCTAGATCACCATGCCGTCAAAAGCATTCCAGATCGACACTGTAGCTGTATCAACTTCAAATAATACTACTATGATACTGTGTCCCTTTAAATAAGTAACTCACAAAATCAGAAGATGATACGCTTTTGAATGATTAATTTTCGACCTTCGACCTTCGACCTTCTTCAGCCTCAAGAAAAATGGGTCCACACTGGAATCAACCATCAACGACCTTTATGAATTAATTATGCATTTCAGCAAGTATTTGCCCTCCAAACTCTCTCACCCCCCCCCCCCTCCCCTCCCCAAAGAGGAAGAGGTAGATGAGATTTGAAATGTCACACCAATCCATAGGCTTAAAAACTGAAATATTTATTATTCATATACTATATTGTGCATCAATGCTATTCCGGAAATCAAACCGTAAGTTCTCATTAACCCTCATAATGCCATGTGATTCCATACTTCACTACAGAGTGTGCTAAACAAAGAAAAACCTTATTCAAGCCCCATTATCTAAATCTTAAAGTGAAATGGCTAAACTATATTATAATGGTATGTGATAATGTTCAATTTAATAATTTTCTCACCCAAATGCAAGCATGAATGACTGATTTAAAAAGAAGGGGGGGGGGGTATCAAAATTGCCTGTGTCGAAGTTAGAGACAAATTGTAATCAGGAGTTCATTTAATGGTTTGTGAGTGCTTTTCAATAGTTTGAACGAAGATCATTCAACCAAAACCTTGGACTGACCATCCATCTCATGAAGAACTTGAGCCAGAGGAAAATTTGATTAGAATCATGGAAAAATAATGCTGTTCAGCTGACCAACATCAGATTTTATTGATTACAGTTTCATATCAAAGGAAATATTGTCAGGTTTGGAGCCAGAAGGGCATTAATTCATATAGTTTAGCACAGAGTTAACATCTTTCTGTCTCTGAATAGATGATACAATAGGCTATATAAGGGAGAAAAAAATATTTGACATCATCTATATGCACTGACCACAATGATATATTTAGGGATGAATCCGAGTTTCCTTTTTTTGAGTCACACTGTATAGTCTGAATTCAATTTCAACCTGTCATGTCTGATTATCACATCAGATTTTAGCATACTACTAAAGTAAAAAATCCATCATGGGATGATGAATGCTATTTGTAATAGATCTCCATCATGTAGCTCAAATGGAATAATATATATGTGAGCACTGCAATAACATTCCTATTATTAGAGCGTATTTCCAAATCGTCTGCTTGGATTTGATTAAGCCACAATCATGAAGTCATCTGCAGCCAATTATGTTCTTGTAAAGCAATTAAATGGATACAAATGGATGTAGAACAGTACAATCAGATGGAGGCCTATCTGACAAACAGGGAGAATGTGTGTATTTCTTCTCCCTAAATGTTAGCCCACACAATGACAGGTAATGTTTTTTTAAAGGTCAATATGATATATTCTAGCTGTACACAAAGTATTTTGTTGCCAAGGTGATTGGATACACTATAGATGTAATCCGAGTTCTTGAAATGACAGAAAATAGAATAAAAGGAAAGGAGGTACTAACTTACAGAACTTACATAACAACCAACATTTAAACAAATACCTGAAATATATTAAACGACAAACCTGTACTTTACATTGGTTTGCGCTGTGTTTTCTTTTCAGCCTTGAAGTTGTTTGTGCACACACTAAAAAAAAGATTACAGACTTGACAACTTTTGTATTTACTGATCTGAAAGAAATTCTAGAGCTTTAAAAGTGAGAGTAAAAGCATATCTACAAAAACAAAACAAAACAAAACACATAAAAGACAGAATAACCCTGTTGAATTGAAAGTGAAATAATAATACTATCTCTTCTTAATACTTGTGTCAAAAATAAAACGAAGGTGATATCAAATTTATAACTTGACAAGGTGACACCCTGCTTAGAGCTGCTATCGGTTAATATTTGAAAACTCTTAGTAATTTAATATTTACTGTTTGAATTAAATACAAGCAATGAATGTGTACATGTATGATTATCATGCATTGTATGGTCTGCTGAGAGCCAGAAGGGTGTTAAAGAGAAGGTTGAGTTCTGGGAAGAGGTGAAAGATAATTTCTGAGCGAATTAGCGTTGTACTATGCAAGTGTGGAAGAACATCATATAAAAAAATGTTCCCTGAATAGCATGGCTCTCCCAATGCCTTAATATTCCAAATATGGCATGTAACATCATAAAAATCGAGACAGATTTTTTTCACCACATGTTTGTGTAGTCCCATATACATTTTTCTGTGTACAGTGCTTGTAACTTTACCAAGACTAGGCCACACTTCTTATAATTTTGCTGATTCCAGAACCTTGAATTGCACACCAATACTTATATGCTAGATGATCAACCTTTTCTCATCGATTCCACAATGTTTCTTTCACAATGCAATCGCATGACCAGAACTCAACTTTATTTTTAATTTGTATCATTTTCTGTAAATGCCCTTTTTTCTCTAATCGTATCATCTGCTAAGAGTTAATAGATCACTATCTAATTCCATTTCACCTAAGACAATCTTTAACCCATCACCTGCAGAGAGCCAGAAGGGCCTTAACTCGTATCATTATACTATTTCACATAAAGTTAATACCCTTCTGATACCCGCACGATATCATTTATTAGTTATATCCCAGTTGACACAAGTTCCATGAGACCAAAAGCTGAGGAAACTGAAATACATCCCGGAAACTGAAATCACACATGGAGTGAATTCCTGACGAGGTGTTAGAAAGGCCCTCGAGACTAAATATTTTTAGTCTGTACCTTTTTCATCTGTTCAGAGCCCCAAGGTTTTAACTCTGTTTTTTATGTATCCGAGCCCTTCTGGATCCATACACAAAATACATTTCTAAGAGTTTCAAGAGATTCATGTGATTTATTTATGGCATCAATAGCACAAGAAGGGTTGCGATACAGAATGTTGGTCTCATAACCCTTAGAAAAAAAGGGGAAAAAAGTTCACTGAGTTAACTGGGCTATAGACAAATTTCTTGTTTTTCTTTCAAAATGTGTTTCTTTATAATTTAATAAAAATGGCCCTAGAGCTATAGATGGCTTTAAGAGAGTAACATATTATTCATCAGAACCACAAAAGGTGAAGAAGATGACGGCTGAACGTTGGCAGATCAAATCTCTTGAAAGAAGAGTCTTGAAAACAATGAATCAAAGACGTGTATCATTAATTTGTTGGGAGAACAACTCATCGTAGTCAAGGTTTAGGTATATTTTGCTTTGGGCAGTCCCTTTCTTCTCACAAACACAATGATATTTCCTTACACGAAGAATGGCCTTCTCCAGGGAAAACAGTAACATATCTACTTTTCCCATGGGCTTACAAAATCCTTAGTCTACTTTTGTTCAATAATACTTACATGTAACACATCACTTTATATATCACAAAGTGCCTAGAGATATCATACATGTAATAAAAAATAATTTCAAAAGAAATTCTTAATTGTGTTTTGCTCTCGGCCTTGAAGAATAGGAATGCAAATTCAATTTATCCCTGGAAGCAAGGTGAACTGTACAAGAAGTGGTTCATCTTACCCCAACAAACGATACTTTATATAAAATGTACGAAAGAGAATAGATACCGTCAGCTGCCTGCAAAAAGGAGGTTATCACCATTGACAATAAACAGCTCTTACGGCCTTTTGGGGACAGCCATCATGCGTTGAGAGACAGATGGGCATTACCTTTGGGTTAAGCCCAACGCACACTGTACGACTCTCCTGTGACCTGGTTTTTGAGGAATCATATTTTAAATGTGAATATAAACGCTCATCAACTTCCTGATTTATGTTCTAAATAATGATAAATACTAACAACTGGAAAGTTTGTGCATTCAAACTCTATTAAAAGCCAAATCGGCTTCATATTGTAGACAATCGCACTAGGAGTATGACGTCACTACAATTCTTAGCTAATTTAGCTTTCCCCCAAAAAAAATAAGATTTATGAAATCCCTTGAATATTAGATTAATATTAATCACATGACTATTTGGATCCTCGATCATTAAGGGTTTACATGTTTGAATGTTCATACCAAATGATATTGCAAATTCTTCCCAAGTATAATCGTAGTCAGATCGTATACTGTATGTGGTGAGCTTTAAAGGTTACAAGATACCGCCCTTCTGTTTCTCAACAGATAATATGTGAATTTACATTAGTATCAACCTGAAAAACTAGTTTTGTTCACTGTGGCAAGGAAAACTCAATCTGTTCTACAAATCTTAATCCTCTAAAAGTAGTGTCCATCACTTGCTGTTATCACCAGATCTCCTCAAATGTAAAAGAGCACATCAACTGCTGACAGCTAGACACAGATTAACTTGTATCTCTATTTAGGCTAATACAGCAGTCCGTAAATTGTAAGCTTAGCTCGTGGTTTTAAACAAACCTTTGTGGTTATATTGTGGTATTAAAGTGACGGGATGTACTTGTAGAAACTTGTTTTAACCACAAGCAATTTCATGGTTAAAAACAAAAACTACACGCAGCAGCAATGTTGATACATAACTCTTGGGATCTTCTTGTGGGCAGTCTAGGACTCTGAATATTTCATACGAACTAGGGTCTTTTCGTTAATTCTACATTTTCCTATGCAGAAATACATATAAGTGTAGGATCTTCACATGAAAATGGAACACTTAAAACAAGATCATTGGGTCTAAAATGCGCAGTCATTATTTTCATAACGTTACACAAGGATAACCTTTGTTTCTTGTTTTACAATGTGGTCTAAAGAACTTCTAAAATTCTATTTTCTACCTAGTACCTGATCTATGAAAAAAAAGGAAAGGGCTGGAGTACACATCATCATCCTCTCGATAAGCAAACCATTGGCACTTTCTGTTTTATTCCCAAATATTAAAATATTTTATAAATATATACATCCTACAGCTAATCTACAGGCCCTTTATCATGCGGGTACCGGATATGGGCCTTCTCTTCTTTTATTCCTCCTGTCTCTCGCGTACTGCCTGGGGTCTCTCCTGTCAACAGGGGGCGCCCTAGGAAAATGATCCTGCGCACCCTGATCCCGATGGTCCATCGCTTGCGCTGGTTGACCTTGCCGTGGATCCCGGGGCCCTTCTATTTGTTGATCGATGTCTTTCTCGCGGTAAACTCTCTTGAGGTTTTCGTTGAATCCTGCTGCATTGTCGGCGATCTTTTGCTCGTTGTCCAGGACGAATCGGTCGGGGTCGCCGTACCTGGGCTGGCGGGCGTAGGGGTCGTAGCCGAGCCGGGACAACATCGGGGCAAGGCTGGCCATGTCAGAGATGACATCTCCAGGTATATGTCCGACCCACTTGCTCAATGCTTCAAGGTTGACAGGTTTAATGACTTGGTCTGTAGATTTCTCTTTCCTGCAAAAATGAGGGCAAAGATTACAAAAATGAAATTAATGTTTGGGTAAATATCAAAACTATCTTTTGACAAAGATTTGAATGGTGTAAGAAACAGACTGATTATGCATAGATGGCTTTATACTAGAAAGCAAAAATAAATGTTACTTCTTGTTCTCTAAACGGCAATATTCATCTGCATATACTTCTTACGTGGCAACAATCACAGAAATCACATGTTGAGAATAACAATGCAGAATTTCAATCACCAATGGTAACGGTATACCAATATCAAAATATCAGAAAAAACTAACAGTGAATAACATTTTCATGTACGTCATTTCCTAATTTCCAGAATGGTAGAGGGGTTTTTCTTTTCTCATGTAAGAATCAAACCATGAAAAAGCCCTGTAGTCTAGGCTTTAAGCACATGGTTTCCCACCCAATTCTTGCAATGATTTATCACCAGGGAATTAGTGATGCCTGCATAATATGCACCACCACCTCCAATTTATTGTGAATTAATTGGACAAGTCAGAAAGCTTAAAGGCCCACTGCACTACTTGTAGCTACTTGCGCCCTCTATACAACAAACAATGCCTAATCGGTGACCATTGGTCCCCCATGATCCTCTTTTCCTTATGTTAACTGAGAGCTGAGTTAATGAGATAACCACCTGTCCTGTGACCTTGCAGGGGAGGCTAATCCCTCCTGTAAACTATGGCAGATAAGCTTTAAAGGTATAATGAGTTAAAGTTTGCATGAAATTAACATTGTATGGGAATGTACATAGCCATGGACACTTGGGAGTTGGGAGTTGGGACATGTGGTTAACAGAAGGTACATCAATGTTGTCACAGAGAGCTAAAGATAAAGGTGAGTTCTGGTAATGCGATTGCATTGTGAAAGAAAGGTGTGGAATGAATCAGAAAAGTTGATCACATATAGCATGTAAGTATTGGTGTGTAATGCAAGGTTCTGGAGTCATCAAATCATCATAAATTTGGCCGAGTCTTGGTAAAGTAACAATCACTGTACACAGAAAGATGTATATGGGACAACACAAATGGTGTCGGGGCTAGTACTACCTTGATTTCCTTATCTTTCTATGCTCACTACTCAGCCAGTATACATTTTCTTCCAAAATTGTTTGGCACATGACATTTGTCATCTTGAACATTCAGTGTAAGTTTCGTTAGATTCTGTGAGAATTCATTTTCTTTTTTTTTACCAGAACTCAAGTTTATCTTTTAAGTGATACTAAACTGATTATATTTCTGCCCTAGCATACTGTGTATTGCACAGCGCCATCTCTTGGTCAACTTGCCAACAGTGCATAACCCCAACACCCAATTTCTACTTTGCAGACAGAGGACTCACTGCAAGAACCAACAGCGCAGCGATCTACGGAACTGTACTGCTACAGCTGACCTGAGATGGCGATAGCGGGGATTTTGTGGTAGTGCTTCTAGTACAGTGTGGCTTTAAATGGGAATTAAAATCTGCTGTTACAGGAGATGATAGAAATCTATTAGATATTATTCAACTTTTACTTTTTAATCCAGTCCCTTTCTTTACAATATACTACTACTACTACTACTACTACTACTACTACTACTACTACTACTACTACTATACCACCAGTACTACGACTACCACTACTACTACTTCAACTACTCATTACGAAGGTTTCTGCAACTAAGAGCTGTACAGCCCAAAACACAAATCACGACATAAAATCACTGATGTGACCTTCAACTGAAAATAAAACAGAATCCAATCAGATGACCATCATTACGCGGCACCTTGTTCTGTGACCCTCTCAGGCGAGCGAAAATTGCAATCACTATCATGATGGTTTAACATCATCCGTGACCTTCATTCAACCTTTATAGGACCTGACAAGCATGTATTTGCCTCTTTCCTAGCTGGATACTGCCCCATCTCTTCATCATTGTAATTAAAATGCACATTCTCCGTGCTACATGGATATTTAAAATGAGGGTTCGAGGGAATGAGGGTTCGAGAGAACGAGGGAATGGAGATGATTTGTTCATGACATTCAATCTACCCTCCTCAAACTAATGGTTGTTGATCAACATAGTAAGGGATGCAAATAGAGGGGGATTATTAAGTGAGAGAGAGAGAGAGAGAGAGAGAGAGAGAGAGAGAGAGAGAGAAAAGGAGAGAGGGAGTGTGTGTATGTATGTGAGAGAGAGAGAGAGAGAGAGACAGAGAGACAGAGAGTGTGTGTGTATGTGTGTCTGAGAGAGAGATAGAGAGAAGAGGGTGTGGGACGAGAGTGTAAGAGACAAAGAGAGAGTGGGGGAGCGAGTGAGAGAGTAAGAGACAGAGAGAGGGAGAGAATAGAAGAATATATAAGTAGAGAGAAGAGATGTATATTTTAGACAGAGAGGGATGCAAAGCATGTCTAAGATCGAGAGGAGAGGAGAGAAAGAAAGGAGAGAGAGAGAGAGAGAGAAAAAAAAAATGAGCAAGAGAGAAAGAAAAAATATAAGGACAGGCACATACATTTACCACATATTACCAAATACATGAGCCAAAAACCACAGACAGCACATTAAAAAAACAGCAAGCATACATAACCCCATACTGTTTTTATAATTCCTTTGTCTCTGCTTCTCACATGCTCTCATCCACCCGACCATTCATTCATGTAGTCATGCACATATTTTTTTCTAGTCCATGCTGAGACGACACTCCCTCCGCTCGACATGCACTTATCAACAATCAAAACAACCCATTTCCAAAGCAAATCATCCTCAAATGTTCATATTGTCATGCGCATATTTGTTCTAGTCCATGTTCAGGCGACACTTCTAATATCTAATACTCAAAGACCAAAACAAGCCATTTTATTAGCTGTTGATCCTGAAATGTTCATATTATCATGCGCATATTCTTTCTTGTCAATGTTCAGGCTAAAATATGATACTCAAAGTGAAGTCAAAGACCAAAACAACCCATTTTATTAGCCAATGATCCTGAAATGTTCATATTATCATCGCATATTCTTTCTTGTCAATGTTCAGGCTAAAATATGATACTCAAAGTGAAGTCAAAGACCAAAACAACCCATTTTATTAGCCAATGATCCTGAAATGTTCATATTATCATCGCATATTCTTTCTAGTCCATGTTCAGGTGACACTTTTAATATCTAATACTCAAATACCATAACAACCCATTTAATAGCCAATGATCCCGAAATGTTCATGTTATCATGTGCATATTCTTTCTAGTCAATATACAGGTGACACTTCTAATATATCTAATACTCAAAGATCAAAGATCAAAACAACCCATGTATTTAGCAGATAATCCCGAAATGTTCATATTCTTTCTGGCCCATGTTCAGGCGACAATTCTAATATCTAATCCTCCAATACCATAACAACTCATTTAATTAACAAATGATCCCGAAATGTTTGTATTCTTTCTGGTCAATGTTCAGGCGACAATTCTAATATCTAATACTCTTACACCAAAACAACCCATTTAATTAGCAAATGATCCTGCCCCAAATGTTTATATCGTGTGGCGTGCATACATATTCCTTCCAGTTCATGTTCAGGCGACACTTCTAATATCTAATTCTCAAAGATCAAAACAACCCATTTAATTTATTAGCAAACAATCCTGAACTGCCATGAGCATTTTAACAACTCAACATTCATGTTTCCACAGGGAACATTGTCTAAGACTGCCGACACCAGGCCCAATCTGCAAAATTAGTCAACCTCAATTCTCATCACCCACGAGAACATCGTCAAACATGTCCAAAAATAACCGGGAGAATATACACTCGCAGTGCATGCATGTTTTTTTTTGTCCTGGTAGTATTTAAGTCAGATGTCTGATTATATATTTTACTGAAGGGGCTGACTTCTGCAAAACCGTTCAAATCTGATTCAAATTTGTGTATCTTTTTACATATTCTTTAAAGGGACTGGGTACCTTTGCCTCAGATTCTAAACAAAATCCTGGATTTAGCTCATGCTGCAATCATAATTAGAAACCTTTAGGTCAGACAGGAATCCCATAACTTTTACAAGCCGATCACCTGTCGGATTATCAAGAAATTTATGATTGGAATAAGAAATTTCAAAAACCGTTTATAATGACACTACAGTCTATTGGGGAAAATGAGTATGGTAAAAACCTGTCACTCAAACATTTTTACTTTTTTGAAGCACTTCATGATCATTTTGAAGTGCAATTTTGTTAGGCTCTAGCCGTTAGTAATCGAGATAAACTACTGTAAAGTGTCCAATTAGGGACTTGTGCCTCTAGACTAATTATGTATAAGGGTGATTGATGTACATCAATATTTCTTTGTTGATTTTTGAAAATAATTCTTTCCCTCTTATTTTTATGAGAATTCCCATTATTGACATTGAAGATACCATGCTTTTATAAAGAGGGTAGGCGTGGCATACTTGGGCTCCAATATTGATGACCTGATGAATGAAAAGGATAGTACTTGTTTGTCAGTGGTAACATATCCGGTGTAGGATTCCATCTCTAGCGGTATCATTCAACATCGTTCAAACAATTTAAGCATTTCAATCGTCAGCCCCCGGAAGATATGTTATACCTTACTCTTTCAACTCCTTTCATCTTTTTTTTTCTCTCTCTGTCTCCCTCCATCCCTCTCATTTATTCTCTCTTTTTCATGTGATTTGTTTCCTTTCTTTCTCTATCTATATCAATATCTCTCTTTCCCTTCCAATTTTTTTATCCTGTCTCTCCTTAATTCCATAAATAATTTTTTTCCCAGTCCTAAACATCTATTCATTTTCAATTTTATCTCCCTTTTCTGGCTCTCTCTCTGTCTCCCCCCCCCCAACCCCATATGGATTCCTGTTATTCCAACCTTTTCCTTTCCCTCTCCCCATCCCCAATCCCTTCCCTTGTTTCTTCCGTCTATTCCCTGTATTTCTCTTCATTCTCTGCCTCTCTATGTCTGTCTTTCCATCTCCCTCTCACTCCCCTTTTCT